ACGGTGTGCCTGAGAAGATAGTTAATATCATACGAAATTCTTATGATGGATTCAACTGCAAAATCGTACACGGAGGACAGCTAACCGACTCTTTTGAGGTGAAGACCGGTGTGAGGCAAGGTTGCTTACTCTCACCCTTTCTCTTTCTCCTGGTCATCGACTGGATTATGAAGACGTCAACATCTGGAGGGAAGCACGGTATCAACTGGACAGTTAGGACGCAGCTGGACGATCTGGACTTCGCAGATGACCTGGCTCTTCTATCGCACACTCAACAACAAATGCAAGAGAAGACGACCAGTGTAGCAGCAGCCTCTGCAGCAGTAGGTTTCAACATACATAAAGGAAACAGTAAAATTCTCCGATGCAACACAACATGAACCAACCAAATCACTCTTGATGGAGATGCCTTGGAGGAAGTTAACACGTTTACGTATCTGGGCAGCATCATCGACGAGAAAGGTGTATCCGATGCAGATGTGAGGGCGCGGATTGGCAAAGCGAGGGCTGCATTTCTACAGTTGAAAAATATCTGGAACTCCAAACAACTTTCAACCAAAACCAAAATCACGATTTTCAACACAAATGTGAAGACAGTTCTACTGTATGGAGCGAAAACTTGGAGAACTACCAAAGCCATCATCCAGAAGATACAAGTGTTTATTAACAGCTGTCTACGTAAAATACTTCGTATTCGTTGGCCAGACACGATCAGCAACAACGAACTGTGGGAGATAACAAACCAGATTCCAGTGGAGGAGGAAATCAGGAAGAAGCGGCGGAAGTGGATAGGACACACACTAAGAAAAGCACCTAACTGCGTCACGAGACAAGCCCTCACATGGAACCCTGAAGGCAAAAGGAAAAGAGGAATGCCAAGGGACACATTACGCCGAGAAATAGAGAAAGATATGAGAGGAATGAACAAATACTGGACAGAATTGGAGAGGGAAGCCCAGGACAGAGTTGGTTGGAGAAAACTGGTGGGCGGTCTATGCTCCATCGGGGATAACAGGCGTAAGTAAGTAGGTAAGTAACTTCAATTGAATTAGTGAGCAGATAGTAATAATAACAGTAAAAACAAACTGTAGTCAGCGCTTCGCATTATTTTCTAAAATTTATAGAGTCAAGAATAACCGAATGACATTTATCACAACAAGTGAACCATTTTGAAGGTAATCTATTGCTGTTTTCCTGTATTTTATCTCAATGTGTTAGTAGCCAAGTGTTGACGTGATGTCTGTGTAGTGTTATACTTTTACGAAGAGAACACAATTGCTGAAATGGAAACATTTATTACTGTACTTAGTTCTAACAATAATTTTTCTATTGTACGCCGATAGTTCAATTGTACTAAAGACTATAACTCGCACGCCAAGCATGTCATTTCCATTCCGCTTCTCTGCTTGGTGGTTGTTAGCTGCTTCCATATCCCGGTCTTGATATTATCTGGATATCACGAAGCCAGGGATAAATACATCTCTTGATCCAGTTACTGTCGTCTTTCTGATTTCTGGATCTATCGGGATTTAACTTGGTAATCTCGCGAATAACAATAGTCTTTTATCTCGCTATAAATGCAAGTTGCTGTTTAATATTTATGCGACAGAACCAGTCTTATATCGGTAGCAAAATCGTTCCTAATCATGCAATAATTGCAGTTCTGTACTAAATGAACAGAATTGTAGCCAAATTATCGTATCACAATGTTTGTACCATTTCCTTCGAAGTCTAGCCATTTATAGCAGGGCTTTCATTACTGGACATAAAAAAGTAACCATCCTATCATTTACTAAACCAAATCAAATGTTAACTCGAAAGGCGATGAGGTGTCAGCACCAAGTCAGGGTGTCCAAGGCTTTGAAGTCTTCGACCTTATAGCCTTCACATAAAGATATTTCAGTTGAAAAGTTCTAAAATTCCACCCACAGCTACTAAGAATTTGGACTTTCAAGTGCACGGTCTAAAAAACTCCATTATGTCCACTTCAACTGAATCTCACATAGCATGTACTGATTTGAGAATAAATAGTTACTGTTAATATTACTTTCAAATAAGTTTTCAGGTGAACCATGAGTGAATTTTGGTTAAGATTTCTTAAATCTGTTTCACCTGAACTAAAGAACTAGTTTGAGCAAAAGTATAATTTATTGACCGCCTTGATTGAACTTATTAGAATTAGATAAAACCGCATGTGATTTGTGTGAAAATTTAAGGCGCAGCTTATTTATCAAAAGTTGGCAGCATGGATGTAATGGGTTTCATTAAGGTCTTGTCCAGCAGTGCAACGGAGCGGAATGGTTATAATTTGGACAAGCAGACCTTTCGAAATTTAAAATGCATCAGTATAATATATGACGCCTACATAACTCAAGGAGTAAAAACACAATTCATAAATAATGTTATATAGCTAAATGATACACTCAGCTAGATTGTAACTATTCTAGGTTATCCATCTACGAAAAAGGTTACATACTCATGTATTACATCTGATTAGTTGTATATTACCAAGAATATACAATAGATTTCAGGAAATATTTATGACCATATATTGTTCATTAAGTATTATCCATTCTATTTATTTAACAAAATCCATAAACGATGATTTAGCCGTAATCTGAATAAGTGAATAAATTTTATTCACGATAGACAAATCAACTTTGTTTCAGCTAAATAATCAGAAATATACCGGCTATAAGTGACCCAAATACGAATCTCTAATTAATCATAATAGGGCTTACCAACTTAAAGTATCATAATCATATCTGTTAGTTAAGTCCTCCACTATGTTCCTCAATATGGTAAAATGCAGGGCGGTATTCAAATTTTGGAAAACACGAATGGCCAAGATATTTTCGATAAATAGTAGTGGGAGTTCTATATAGTTACTGAATACAATGCTACTAGGCTTTCGAGTTAAATCCTATGTAATTATTGGTAATATTTTACTGCAGCGATACTACGACAGCTTACGTTGAGTGGTTAAGAGTTAGCCGAGAACCTCTTTGTATTGTCAAAACATCGAAGATCGAGTATCTATTTAATACCGTATTTTGTGTAATGATTATATTTTCCATGGTTCGATAATGAGTATTGAGATTTTGGATGTTTAAGTGCAGACCTTAGGCTTCAATCTTCTGGTTCCGCGATCTTAATGGAAATAAGCAGCCCATCTGCGGGCTTTTTACACCTATAAACTTAGGAGTAACCACAACTACTAAAGTAATATTGATGTACCCATTACCCAAACCACCTAACAGACTGAATAAACGTTTTGATAAGTGAATTTTTTACATTGAATTTCATAATTGCATAATATTAACCCAATATAATATAGTTAGGAGCAAATCATCTACGTAAATTATTAGTGCGATTTCTTTAAATCTGAGTCCTGTTAGACTGTACTTGAAAGATATAACCCTAAAGTAATGCCTAAGGTGCGTGGGTATGAATAAAATCAGCCAATTAATATTGACTAGCCGATGGTGCCTGTTGCTTGTCCATAGGACAAGTATGGCTGGCGTGACTAGTTATCTTTGGAAAATTCACAATATGTGATGAAAAATGCATTTTTAGTACAAGGCGTATCATCGTACTTACATATCACAACCAATATATCAGCGCACAAGGAATAATTTTGTCTTCCACCTTATTTTAAGTTAATATTTCATTACTGGAAATTATTTAGGAGAAAAACATTGGCCGGCCGTTTATAGATTCAACATACTAACCCTGTTCAGAATGAGGTGTCCTCGGTTTGCTAAAATTTGCTTATGTCTACTCTCCATTAGTACTGGGATCGCATCCTACTGAGTGATGTAAAAAATGCTGTGGAGCTTTTTGTCAGTAGACTAGGTTGAAGCACATCCTGACCTGATGGAAAGTCATTTCTAAGTTCCTCAGTTACGTGGCATTTAGTTGTTTAGATGAACCTTTAAGTTTCGTGTTAGGCTGCGTTGAAGCTATCACTGAAGACACATAAAGTTTCTCGACTATTGGCGAATTTCAATGGGAAACGGCTACACTCAGTTTGAACCTTTAACGGTACATAATCTGTTTACTTCTTGAAGTCCCTTTCAGCAAGACCTTCCGCCGGATTTTTTAACAATTTTATTACGTGCTCTCATCACTCTAATTATATATGACTTGCAACAACCTAAACACTCCTTTGGAGCCTATAGAACGCTTAGTTAATTTCCAATGCAAATTCTAAGCAATAATAGGAAAAATAGGAGTGAGGCACTGTGGACTGCTCTGGATATTTACTTTCTGTCATATAGGAGTTGTCAACTCCTGGTTAAAGTGGTCATGACACCACCTACAATACTAACTTATGACCAGCCCCAATATAGAACTTGAGGGAACTATCCAGGAATTAGAAAAACAGTACGGCGTGGCGGACTTTAGATATACCTTATACTCTATAAGAGTAGTCAAACTGTAAAATTCTCTGGCAGCTGCGATGGTCCACCCAAATCTCAGGAGTCATTCAGGAGAAAACTTCATTTATTCGTAAGAACGCAGGACAGTATCTCATTACAGCTTACGAATATTAACCCACTGCTCGTTGAAAATATCTAGTTCTCCAGTAGACAAATAAACCCGTTTAGCTAAAATTTCCAATACGTCCACAACCATTGGCAATCTTTGAACTTCCAAAGTGTTCACGATGAAACCTGAAAAAATCTTGGATATATAGAACAGTATATTATACAAATCTACTGATAGTTCTTTTATTTCCGTTTATCCAAACGGTGATTCAATGCTGCAAGACTGAAGGTCGTTAAGTAAACCCCTGTTTGTGCATTTTTCGCTCTACACGTATGTCATCATCTAAAGAAATAAATTGCTATTGGCTTCCAGCATTTAGGTCATTTGAGAGAAAACGACACTGCCGTTACTTCCAAATTATTGAAATATGTTTGTTTAGACTCCCCACTGAATAACCTTGTGGTTTCGTTCCTCACCGATTTGAATAGGCCAATTGCGGGAAGTAAGGTATGGTGGAAAATCAAGAAGATAGTGAAAAGCCTAAAAAACCTACAACACACGATGAGCGTGGTGCAGCAGATTTGGAACGTGTTACTGATTATTTTGAAGAGAAGGAGCTTAGTGTTGGCCTAGATGCAGTCAAAGCTGTATCAGATACAGCTGGTGATGCTGACAAAGCTCAGAAACAGAAGCAAATGTTGAAGATTAAAGTCAAAAATGAAGACGTATCACTCATAGTAAGTCATATATCTATATATATGGGTTAGCTAAATGCGAAATAATAATGGGTTAGTCTATTGTCAGACCGTTTACGTGTCACTGGTATTGTTAATTGTCCTTAAAAATACTGATTGTGTCAAGCTGATTGGCTGACTAGATTAGAACAGTATGACAACACTAAATACTCGTATGTGCAATATCCCCAGTTCTATTTACCTTTTTCGAGGTTTGGTTACCGTTGGATACGTCAAAAAAGACACCAGAACAAGTTGATTTCAGTGTTTATTATTTCTGTATTACAGAAATCAGATGTACCTTAGTTGGATTTCTGACGAAGGAATAAATACAGATGTTAGCGTATACTTATTGACTGCTATTTTTCAGCTCAACTCACTAGTACCTATATACATGGCCCACCAAGCATACTGATCAATGATACTCGTCCGAAACTGAATAAATGTATAACGTCGGTTTGTCGAAGGAATTTCAAATCAGTGATTTTAAAATAGAAGGCTATTCTGTAGTAGTGACCGTAACTAATGTTTAACCGTGTCGTCGAAAAAATTAGTCCATCTGAATGCTTTCACCTTGATCTGGATACACATTCTATAACGGGTTTTACTTGTTAATCGTTGTTCTAGGTTGACCTGAGTGACAGTCAACATATTAGTTGCGAGAATATTTACTCTTATAAACCTATGTACCAGTAATATCTCTGACTACTTTCGGTTGCAAAAGCCATCTGAGGTCATCATAAAAGCAACGTACAACTTTGCACGTAAGTACAGAAGTTCAGGTTGCCATACCACATTAGCACAGAGATGTAATTGTCAATTCAAATCCCATAGTAGTAGAGGTAGTAAAAGTATGAGCAGTAATCGGAAAGATTAGGGTTCGGAAATTTTGTTCAAGAAGTATAATTCAGTGAAGTAAATTTAAAAAGCGAAAGAGGATGAGTAATTCAGAAGGTTAGAGTTTCATAGAACACAAAGAGTAAATGCTCCAGCGCCATTGCAAACGATTCTGAGCCATGTCGTTCAACGTCTCTAACTATTGGTGACTTTCGTCTCGCGGACCCCGACAAGGTAGCCTACATCTACCAACATGACTCAGTCCACTTGTCGGTGACTTTATGGATTTGTGCCATGTTTTGGTTTGGCCGCCCTTAGCTTTCTTCCAACCTATTTCACTACTTCATCAACTAATTTGCCATCCCTACCTAGAACTCGTTTCCTGAAGACAGCATTTCTTACTCGGTTGTCCCTCCGACAGGTTATCCATATCGGCGCCGTGCTTAGCGTGGACGCCAGACCAACATGAGCACCCACATGCCAGAACTCCCGGTACCGCGAAATCCGGCACCCTGGCCTCTACGTAGCTAGATTACAGGCGCACGCCACCATGTCCCATGATACACGAGCAATACTTCGGAGACACCGATGATCGAAGACTAGTAACCTACGAATATCTCCTACTCTGACTTGCCATGTTTCACAGCCATAAAGTAGGACGGAGCTAACTACTGCGCAGTACACTCGTCCTTTATTCAGCAAACGGATATCTCACCTACGCCATAAGTGACGCATGTTGGCAAAAGCCAATCGAGCCTTCTGCATCCGTGCTGAGATTTCGTCAGTCAACAGGCCATCAGCACTGATGAGACTTCTAAAATAAATGAAGCAGTCAACACGCTCAACTAATTCACTCCTTATCACTAGTTCAGGTAACGATGCGACTCAATCTTGAAGCAACATTTTGCATTTCCATGGGGAAAACCGCATCCCGAACATGCTTGCATTGTTGCTCAAGGTGGTCAGAAGACTTCATTTTGTCAGCGTCTTCACCGAGTAAAACTATTTCATCGGCATATTCTAAGTAAATAAGCGGGCTTCCTGGTAGAAAGTCGACTACCTGAAAAGTCAGACGAAGATAATGTTATATCTAGCAGCGTGTCTGACAAAATTGAACAAGAATGGAGAGAGTGGACATCCCTGACGCACACCACTTGAAGTAAACAATTCCAATGACAGTTCGCCATAAGCTCTAACTCGACCTGTAGTGTTCGAGTAGAGTGCTTGTATAAGGTTAATGTACTTCTCTGGTATACCTTCTTTCAATGACAGACACTGCCACGGAACCTCACGATCAACAGAGTCAAACGCCGCTTTTAGGTCCAGAAAGACAACTATTGTCAGACGCCTAAATGTGTGTCTGTGTTCCAGGACCTGTCGTAGTGTGAAGATGTGGTCTATACATCCACGTCCAGGTCTGAAGCCAGCCTGGTTTTCTCGAGTCTGTTCTTCACGAGCTCTAGTTAGGCGTCTAAGTATAGTCGAGGCTAACAATTTAGAAACTATATTAGTTAGACTTATTCCATTGTGATTGTCACGAGAAGACTTTCTTAAAAATTGGGACAATCGGGGATTGAGTCCAGTCGGATGGGATTACGTCCAGTTCCCATATTCTACCCAAGATCTCAGTCAATCTAGCTGCTAAAACTGGACCACCATCCTTAAGTATCTCAGGAGTCAAGCTATCGGGTCCTGCTGCTCTCTCTCGCTTCAAATTTCCTATAGCCTTTTTAACTTCATAGAGGTTAGGAGGGCTTACGTCGACTTGCCATTCAGGATGACTGGAGATTGTGGGCAGCGGAAATTTAGCTAAGCGCTAATTGAACTGATCCCTAAAGTCTTCTGCTCATCGATACAATCTCCTGGGTCGAGAATAATTAATAGTCTCATCCTTTTCCGAGATAGTCTTACATACAGTTGGATTCCTAATACGTTTCTTTGATAAGGCGGTACAGCTGTCTGTTGTTGCCTATCGCCACTGCCTTTTCCATCGCTTTTGCTTTCGTTACCCACCACTGTTCTCGATCATTGTGAAGGCTTTTTACCGGCATGCGCCTGATCTGACTCCGCTCCTCATCGCACTCAGCCAGGCAGGATGAGTTTTCGAGCATCCATCAGTTCGGTAGATGCTACTGAAATCCACGGCTTCTTCATAACTTTATGGTTTACCTTACTAGAAGATATCACTGCTGTTTCCACAGCCTTTTTGATATCATACCAAGATACCTCCGGATGGGAATCACTTACTACATGGCTGCTTAACTGTTTTTCTGGTTGTTCCTGAAATATATCCTTAGCTTTATTATTATTAAGTAGAGCCCTAAGAGGTTTCCTTGCGTCCAGTGAGGTGCAAATAAATACACGCTCGCACTAGAGCATGATCTGAGTCTAAACAAGTGCTCCAGAATGAGCAGCAGTCTTTGACAGAGCCTCTCCACCGATGGCTTATAGTGATGTGATCTAGTTGGGTCGGCTTTGGGGGTCGCCAGGTCAAAAGGTGTTTTAGCTTATGCTTAAAGTTAGTGTTTGCTAGGAAAAAGCGGTTATCCGAGCATAGCTGCAGCAGACAGTCGCCATTATCTGTTCTATTAGCCGCGACACCATAACATCTACCCAGGTGTCTTTCCTTTTCGCTGTGTCTACCTACTTGAGCGTTAGAGTCACCGGCCATTATTACTATACCAGAGCGCTTAACAGTTTGGAGAAGTTTAGAGATGTTTCTATAAAACCTATCTTTCATGTCGTCTGAACTGCAGTCAGTGGGGACATAGGCAGATATGAAGAAGAGGCAACGGTGAGTGTCCCTATCCTTCGGAGTTCGTACCGTCCCGTTTCGTCGGACAGCGCATAAGGGACTGTCAGTCGGGATCAAGTTTGAGAGCTTGTTCTTCCCTAGGACTTAATACTCTACCTACGCCGGCGAGGCCACGAGAAGCGGCATCAGGGTTTCAAGAAACACGAAGCGTAAACCTTGTTGTGTCTCTATCTGCGCTAGGTGATGATTTTACTCGGATCTTGTATGCGCGTTTTGGAGACGCAAGATACATCGATCGCCCGGGATTCCAGAGTTCTAGCTAATGAAGCCTGTTGCTCTATTTGGCATAGGGTCTGAACATTAAAAGCTCCTATATGTAATTTAGTACGGGGTTTCAGGAGACCAGGAATAATGATGTTTCGAGAGCTCGTACCGTTTGCTTCAGTGGCTTGAGGTGATAAACGATCGAAAGAACAGTTAATCGAGGAGATAGGAGAGTTATTAAGAGGTTTAGAAAGGATTTGATGGTGACCAATCCGGTCTCGTGTACTTTTATGGGTATGAGGGCGGATGTTACTTCCTGGTTGCCCACACCGTGGAAGTTTTTCTTGAGGAACCTTCGTCTTTTAATGTAAACCCCAAACCAAACGGAGTCTTTTCAATAACAATAGACATTGGTATATCCATCGTGAGTGAATCGATTTGCTTCACCCTAACAAATCCATATTTCAGAGTTTAATTATCGGAAAGCCCCAGTAGGAATCAATAATGCCATCCGAGGTCGAGTAAGATTATCAGCGCAAACTTTTGACGAGACAGTTTAAAACGAATCCAGTAAGTTGTGGATGAAACTAGGCTTTCCAGAGTATATACCACTAGGCCGGTGAGTGGATTCTTCGAGATTCAAGTCAATTTGGTCCGTATTATTCCCTAATCCTCAATTCATTATTCTACAGCTATCAGTGAGCGATTTAAGCCAGTGCTGTCTCCCAATCAACATTATTTACATTTCAGTCCCCCTTAATATGTACTATGTACAAATTCTCGTTATGAAATGTCCAACATCACTTACTCACTGACACCGTTACACGGTTATTCCAAAACAGTTTTCGGTTAAGTGTCTCTATTCTTACATCCCTATTTGGAACGTTACAAGCTTGTCATGTTTCGCAGACTATGAACCACACTAAAATGCACTTCTGGTCAGCAAAGAAATCGAGTTCCTGTTCATCCGTCTGATATGCGCAGCAGTCTATTAATTTCACATTTAAAATCAATGATCGGCAGCCTCAAGCCTTACGGATTAAGGTGAACCACGAAGACACTTTTCTATCCATACACTGGTCGAGTACGCTTACTGCTTCCTCGTCTTCCTGCGTACTATTATTTTATTCTTGCAAAATGTAGCAACTTGCAGCGCCTCACCTTATTCCCCTCATGTCGAAGCACCTATTTTTCAAACAGTTCACTCTCTAAGAAATAGATATCCTAACCCAGTAAGGATATTTCTAGTTTTCTAACAGGAATTAAACGACGGATTCATGCCGCCTCTAGGACTAAAACTTGAAGTAAATTTTTAAATGCACTAAGATATACTCTAAATAGGTTGATTTGAGTGTCAACGCCTTTTAAGATTTAACTTTATGTATTTCGGCTGCATCTTTGTATCACAAAGACCTGTTTTCCATTTTAGTGTCAGGAACTCGAAGTTAGCAAGCTGACGGCGGAGCGATATCTAAAAGAACACCAGGGCAACATTTTTGAGACACTGGTTGCGTTGTGTAAATAGCCGTAAAGTTAACCCAGGTGCTATAGTTAAAAGCAAAATTGCTTTGAGCGATGGTCTGTACATCTAAGAAGGATTTATCTTCTTATTATGTACATGTACACCTGAGTAAATGAGAATGGTTTCTGTACAATAAAAATAAAGAGTCAATTAATTATCATCATGTTTATGTGTTCTTTTTTGTAAAGTTGATAGCATCGGGGACTTCGGTACAGTTGGGGATTTGCGCGTGAGAGGTTTGATTGTTTTATACCGTCTTATCGGTTCCGGTTTATGTACAGATTCTTTGCGAATCCGTCTTATCTCGTTGGCCTCGTCCTCCATCTCCTTGAGTTTAATGAGTTCCATTTGTTGTCGGAGGATATCTCTTCTTTGTTGGGCTTCACAGTCATACTTTGACCTAGATACCGCGCGGTTTACGGTGGCTAATTTGGGGGAGATAGCAACTATTGGAGGACGCTCTGGTAAAGTTGGGATAAATGGCGTTTTATGGATGATCGATGGAGACTTGGATCTTCCTCCTCTTGTAACTATGGATTCCTCGGTAGATGTACTAGCCTAAGAAGACAGTAAATGAGAAACAAACTGTGAATCTAAGTGAAAAAATATGATGTGAAGTTTAGAATGCATTGAGCTTAAGGATTATGTTCATTAATTTCGAAATTATAATTTACTTACGCATGTCACCCCTCAGCGAACATAGGCCAACGACCACTGATTTCCAACTAACACTTCTGGGCCTTCCTTCCCAGTTCCATCCAATCGCTGTTCATTCTTTTGATGTCTGCTTCCAACCCTCGGGGTTATGCGTTCCTTCGTCTACCTCTTCTCAGTTGACCTTGAGGTTCCAGGTTAAGGCTTGCTCCGTGATGCAGTTGAGAGATTTCCGCAGTGTGTCCTACCCATCTCCAGCGCCTTTTCTAAATTTCTTCCTCAGCTGGGATCTGGTCCGTTCTCTCCCACAGTAAGTTGTTGCTGGTGGTGTCTGGTCAACGAATCCGCAATATTTTGAGTGAAAGCTAATAGTAAACACCTGTATCTTATGCATGACGGCTTTTGTAGTTCTCCATATAATGGAACTGTCCTGACGCTCGTATTGAAGATTGTGACTTTGGTGTTGGTTGACAGTTTTGAATTCCAGATGTTCTTCAGTCGTAGAAATGCTACCTCTGTTCTTCTAATTTGTGTCTTTATATAGGCATCAGACCAACCATATTTATCAATGGTGCTGTCCAGATATCTAAAGGTTTCTACATCTTCCAAAGCCTCCGTCAAGTGTGATTTGGTTGGTGTATGCTGTTGTATCTGAGAATATTGTATGTTGAGGCCTTCTGCTGTTACAATGGCTGTCTTCATCTGCATTTGTTTCTATGTGTGAGACAGAAGAGCTAGATCATCTTTGAAGTCCAGCTGCACCATAGTAATACTGTAATCAGATGTTTAGATAAAAACACGACCGACTTCAAGAGACAGCCTTAAGACACGAGATCTACTGCCGATTACCTCATCAACAGACGATAGTTGGGTTCTTTGCAAATAACAGACACTTTCTTTTGATTAATATGACAAACGGAAAGCAAACTGATGCTGTATGACCCAAAACTGCATATAAAATAGACAGTAACTTCCAGGCAATGTTTACTCGACACAAAACTTGTCTACTCATCAATACAATACCGACTGGTCTCATTCAAGAAAATAAGCTAAGAGTTACGGAAATGTGAATACAAAAAGTCATTATACACCAAGTACGTGTAACTATGTCCGAATGCTTCCTGTCTTCTACTGCTGGTCCCTATCGCATAAGAACGATCAGGCCAGTTTTGTCGGACAATATGCGTTGTAAGTTTAACCACCTAGCACGTAATTATTGGTGGGGTGCAGTCTATTTCTGATAAGTAGTCTATCTTTAATAATGTGACTCCAACAACTGCCTCTCATCTTCGATCCATAATCTTTTTCATTAACTTAATACTGCTATCACCCTTACTAATCTGGCATTTAGCCTGACAATTTCATCCGCTAATATGGTATAGCGACTTGAGCTGAGGTACGTCGTACCGTTTTATACGCTACAACTGATTGGCCGATATGAAAATAACTACAAACTTCACTCTTCATAAGCCTTGTGACTACTTGAATCACCATAATTTTAGATGGCTTTCGACCCTTTCAAACTTATGGATAGCCAATCAATCAGTCAACAACAACATAGAACTTCGTACGTACATACATCAGTTCAGGTTGCCATACCACATTAGCACAGAGATGTAATTGTCAATTCAAATCCCATAGTAGTAGAGGTAGTAAAAGTATGAGCAGTAATCGGAAAGATTAGGTTTCGGAAATTTTGTTCAAGAAGTATAATTCAGTGAAGTAAATTTAAAAAGCGAAAGAGGATGAGTAATTCAGAAGGTTAGAGTTTCATAGAACACAAAGAGTAAATGCTCCAGCGCCATTGCAAACGATTCTGAGCCATGTCGTTCAACGTCTCTAACTATTGGTGACTTTCGTCTCGCGGACCCCGACAAGGTAGCCTACATCTACCAACATGACTCAGTCCACTTGTCGGTGACTTTATGGATTTGTGCCATGTTTTGGTTTGGCCGCCCTTAGCTTTCTTCCAACCTATTTCACTACTTCATCAACTAATTTGCCATCCCTACCTAGAACTCGTTTCCTGAAGACAGCATTTCTTACTCGGTTGTCCCTCCGACAGGTTATCCATATCGGCGCCGTGCTTAGCGTGGACGCCAGACCAACATGAGCACCCACATGCCAGAACTCCCGGTACCGCGAAATCCGGCACCCTGGCCTCTACGTAGCTAGATTACAGGCGCACGCCACCATGTCCCATGATACACGAGCAATACTTCGGAGACACCGATGATCGAAGACTAGTAACCTACGAATATCTCCTACTCTGACTTGCCATGTTTCACAGCCATAAAGTAGGACGGAGCTAACTACTGCGCAGTACACTCGTCCTTTATTCAGCAAACGGATATCTCACCTACGCCATAAGTGACGCATGTTGGCAAAAGCCAATCGAGCCTTCTGCATCCGTGCTGAGATTTCGTCAGTCAACAGGCCATCAGCACTGATGAGACTTCTAAAATAAATGAAGCAGTCAACACGCTCAACTAATTCACTCCTTATCACTAGTTCAGGTAACGATGCGACTCAATCTTGAAGCAACATTTTGCATTTCCATGGGGAAAACCGCATCCCGAACATGCTTGCATTGTTGCTCAAGGTGGTCAGAAGACTTCATTTTGTCAGCGTCTTCACCGAGTAAAACTATTTCATCGGCATATTCTAAGTAAATAAGCGGGCTTCCTGGTAGAAAGTCGACTCCTGAAAAGTCAGACGAAGATAATGTTATATCTAGCAGCGTGTCTGACAAAATTGAACAAGAATGGAGAGAGTGGACATCCCTGACGCACACCACTTGAAGTAAACAATTCCAATGACAGTTCGCCATAAGCTCTAACTCGACCTGTAGTGTTCGAGTAGAGTGCTTGTATAAGGTTAATGTACTTCTCTGGTATACCTTCTTTCAATGACAGACACTGCCACGGAACCTCACGATCAACAGAGTCAAACGCCGCTTTTAGGTCCAGAAAGACAACTATTGTCAGACGCCTAAATGTGTGTCTGTGTTCCAGGACCTGTCGTAGTGTGAAGATGTGGTCTATATAGCCATGTCTTGGTCTGAAATTAAATGCTGGAGCAATTAATGTACGGACATTATGTCAAATAGGGCAACAGGCTTCGTTAGCTAGGGCATAAGAATCTTGCTCAATCGATGTATGCTGCGTCTTGGAAACGCGCATACAGGATCCTAGTAAAATTGTTAATCTGATTTCACCTTGTCAAAATAAAGAGGCAGCTCGATTTACTCTTCGTGTATCCGGTAACCCTGATGCTGATTCCCGGGGTCTCGCTGGCGCAGGTTTAGCAATGAGTCTTAGGGCAGACTTAACTCTCCAAGACTGGATCCCAGTAGATAGTCGTTTGTGCGCTCTCCGACTAAACAGGACAGTAAGGACTCAGAAAGATAGGGACACCCGTCGTTGCCTCTTTGTCGTATCTGCCTATGCCCCAACTGACTGCAGTTCAGACGAGGTAAAAGATGCGTTCTACAGAAAGCTTTCGGACTTCCTCTAAAAGGTTAGGTGCTCTGATGTTGTAATAATCGCTGGTGACTTTGATGCTCAAGTAGGTAGACTCAGCGAAAAGGAAAGATACCTGGGTGGATGTTATGGTGTCGCGGCTCAGAGAACAGACAATCACGACTGTCTGTTGCAAGTATGCTCAGATAACCGCCTATTTCTAGCAAACACTAACTTTAGGCATAAGGAAAAACATCTTTTGACTTGGCGACCCCCCTAAGTCGTCTCAATGTTGGACCCAGATAGATCACATCGACATCAGCCACCGATGGAGGGGTTCGTAATGGGGCACATGTTTAGATTCAGATCACGCCCTAGTGCGAGCGCGTATTTGCTTGAGGCTTACTGAACGTAGGAAAGACACCGTAAGGAAGCCTCTTAGAGTTTTACTTAATGATAATAAAGCTAAGGATATATTTCAGGAACAACCAGAAAAACAGTTAAGCAGCCATGTAGTAAGTGATTCCCATCCGGAGGTATCTTGGTATGATATCAAAAAGGCTGTGGAAACAGCAGTGATATCTTCTAGTAAGGTAAACCATAAAGTTATGAAGAAGCCGTGGATTTCAGTAGCATCTACCGAACTGATGGATGCTCGAAAACTCATCCTGCCTGGCTGAGTGCGATGAGGAGCGGAGTCAGATCAGGCGCATGCCGGTAAAAAGCCTTCACAATGATCGAGAACAGTGGTGGGTAACGAAAGCAAAAGCGATGGAAAAGGCAGTGGCGATAGGCAACAACAGACAGCTGTACCGCCTTATCAAAGAAACGTATTAGGAATCCAACTGTATGTAAGACTATCTCGGAAAAGGATGAGACTATTAATTATTCTCGACCCAGGAGATTGTATCGATGAGCAGAAGACTTTAGGGATCAGTTCAATTAGCGCTTAGCTAAATTTCCGCTGCCCACAATCTCCAGTCATCCTGAATGGCAAGTCGACGTAAGCCCTCCTAACCTCTATGAAGTTAAAAAGGCTATAGGAAATCTGAGGCGAGAGAGAGCAGCAGGATCCGATAGCTTGACTCCTGAGATACTTAAGGATGGTGGTCCAGTTTTAGCAGCTAGATTGACTGAGATTTTGGGTAGAATATGGGAACTGGACGTAATCCCATCCGACTGGACTCAATCCCCGATTGTCCCAATTTATAAGAAAGGACAAAAGTCTTCTTGTGACAATCACAATGGAATAAGTCTAACTAATATAGTTCCTAAATTGTTAGCCTCGATTATACTTAGACGCCTAACCAGAGCTCTATGCTTCTGAATTCCTCATAATCTCTACCTTTCTCCTTCTAAATTTATCTCAATGAATTATACTTCTCCAATCATATCTTCGCTCCCTAATCTTCTTCATTACTGCTAATACTTCTACTATCGCTATCCCTCTTGGATTTGAACTGACAGTTGCGTCTCTGTGGTGATGTAATATTGCAACGTGAACTGATGTACTTACATACGGAGTTCTGCGTCATATCTATCCGTCTGTTTGTCCGGGTCTGAAATCTGCCTGGTTTTCTCGAGTCCGCTCTTCACGAGCTCTAGTTAGGCCACTAAGGATAATTGAGGCTAACAATTTAGAAACTATATTAGTTAGACTTATTCCATTGTGATTGTCACAAGAAGACTTTTGTCCTTTCTTATAAATTGGGACAATCGGGGATTGAGTCCAGTCGGATGGGATTACGTCCAGTTCCCATATTCTACCCAAGATCTCAGTCAATCTAGCTGCTAAAACTGGACCACCATCCTTAGATATCTCAGGAGTCAAGCTATCGGGTCCTGCTGCTCTCTCTCGCTTCAGATTTCATATAGCCTTTTTAACTTCATAGAGGTTAGGAGGGCTTACGTCAGTCTGGCTATTATGGATAACCACATCCTCTTTAGTGCACACTCACATATGTATTTATTGTCAATAGTTTTTGCTAGTTTAATAGGCTAAGTGGTTTGAAAGCCGTAGTAACAACAGCAGAAATCCGTATTCAAATAAAGTCTCAATAAGCTATATGAAACAAGCAACAAACAGCTGTTCTGTAGAACTATTGCTACTGTTAGATTACAATAAGCAAGAGACTAGCAACATAACTACATTAGTTTCTTAAGAACTTAAAGTCTACAACAGTAGAAACTCAGAAATAAGGGATGGGAGGTATGTGAGATAACTGTCTTTCCCCATTAATGTCTTCGCATATTTCACTACTAAAATATAACTGGACAAGAACTAGAACAAAGTATTTATTCGAAATCTTCATGAGTCAAATCACTGTTTGGAAATGTGCAACTTTTGTCTTATCGTAAAATTCGAATACGTGATTTATTATTCTACCTATTAGTTTTGAAGGCCCATGTGAAAATCAACTACTACATTAGTTTTTATCCGTAGATAAGCCCAGCCGTCTCTGAAGTGATTCTCTGACTTGACTTCTACAAGAGACTGCTGATTAATAATCAATTTGCTAGATTACAAACACAAATATGACCAGCTTTTGAAAATTAGTTACTGTTTAGTACACACAAAATCCAATGAAAACGTGGGATCACTCAAGGATCCCGTTTAATAAACACTGAATGCCGGGAAGCTCCAGGTCTAAATAAAAAAAATGAGGGGAACGGTGTTTGTCCATACATTATATGATCCTAAAACTAAACTAACCTCTCTTTTGCTTCTATAAAGTGCTATTCTCTCTTCAGTGAATGAGTGGAAGGGAACTGGATGAACTGGGGAATGAACAATGCGTAGGGGTAAACGATCAGGCGACCCAACCCTCATAGGTTGGGCTTTGAATGAATTCGCAAGCAATTTAGCATGTAACTCTGCTTTGACTATACGTTCATTTCTGCGTTTTATTAAAGATAATTCACGATCTTCAAAACTAAATGGCTTTGGATGAGTACAGTTCTGTGTGGAAGAAACAAGCACAAAAATAGATAGAGTAATTAGTGACTTCAAACTTAAGTATAAGGAATACTGATAACGATTTAAACCACTGTCCCAACGAACTGTCGCAAATAAAACACTATTTAGGCACTTCATACAAACGGACAGCATTGCTTACTCGGCTGCCCCACGCACTGCAACATAAACCCGACCACTAAAACCCAAGTAACCCGCAGATGTTACAAAGGGAGCGGTCTTTAGGGAGTTGATCGGACTTCCAAGTTGAGGTTTTATAAACCCGCTAAGGTCTCCAAGTCACATAGGTGTTCGATAAACTTATTTAGTTCATTGTATACCAATCAACTATGAGTAGATGTAAAAAGGTTAATACGAATACTAACCGAAGTATTTTTAGACTTTAACTAAATCCAACAAACGACTTTGATAGCATCTTTATCTGACAGTATCATTTCATTCGACTTTCGTAAGGGGCTTGTATATAAGAACTGTTTTCGTCTGTCTAAAGTTGGTGGTGATGATGAGCAATTGTTTGCTGAAACATATTGAAGGTAGACGCTTAATATCAACCTTCATAGTTATCCAGTCCTGAAAAAACTATTCAAGTATTTTGTCAAGTTTTATGTACACGAACACCTAGAATATCATTTGTCTTGGACTTAGGGTTTGTGTATTGGACTACATTTTAACAGTTTCGTTGTTCAACGTGTAGCTGGGTGGTATTTATACAGTGGTAGCACGCATATCCAACGATTATTAACGCTAATTTAAAATATAGACCTCATTGCGCTCTATCGGAATCTGCATCAACCGAATAAAATAGCATCCGTAATAAGTAAACTAACCCAAACATTAAGCAAAAACAAGATGACGTACTTCTTTATTTGAACCGTCCTCTGAGAAATCACAAGAACGCATTACCATGGAATGCTTTTTGGCACCCATCATTGTTCGAACTATGGGTTTGAAAAGCAGATAACAAAGTAAAAAGCATTATTCCAACCTGAGAAAGATAACATCCATGAAATGACTGAACCAGTGACGAGGGAACTAAATAGTGACTACCGTAATTATAATTAATTGCAAATCCTGAGTTAAATAAATATCTTTGGTATGCAAACAGTGAAATAAGTTACAATATAGTCAGTGGCTATCGGGATACAAATAATCAACTGTGATAGTTCTCCAGACCCTCGTCAGTGATTTATACTTACTTCACTGCGTTATCCAAATGAGCTTGGGGAAATAAGGGTAGACTATCTAGGCGGAAATCAGACTATATGGTGACCATGAAAGTGTGATTTTATAGGAATTTCACCTCTTGAGACATTTAGGTGGGATGCCTCAGCCCAGGAGAAAAAGGCGAAAGTTTAATACAATTTCGCCTGAATTTACACCAAACTTTATTTATCAGTGTCACCTATACTTCCGCAGCTACTTCCCCATCCGTTTTTAATTGGGTAATAATTGCTAAGGAAGAGAGCAAACTGAACTAGATGTCAGATTCACCAGAATAGACGTTAAATCCCCATAAATAACAAAAGCGGGGTCTATTTATGTCAGAACTATCCTGGTTTCTCTTAAATATTGATATATATTGTACACTAATATCACGTGTGGCTCGGCAATAAATAGCAATAGTCAAATTCAAACTGACATTCAAGGTGGTCCAATAAACAATTAACTTCAATGCGCTAGATTCTTGTTCTTTCAGTACGGATCCAGTTGTTTGATTATGTCCAATGGCTAGTAGTCCAGCCACTCAAATGTACTAATTCCATTGAGTCGACAGTTGTTTGTGAGTTTTTATGTCCCGTCATTTGAATGAGTACGTTTGTTTCAGGGCAATAGGGTTTCTTGATGCCAGCAGCTATTACATTACCAGGACGGAGACCAGTTAGTTACGATGTGGGGAGTAATAAGAAGAAAGTTCTAACTCTAATCAGAAGATTTCAGAACTATGTAAATAAATGAATAAATGAGTTGGCTGTAAAGATTATTCGAGAGGATCTTAGTGTAAGCGAAGGAAAGGAAACAGAGATAATAAGCGAGGTCGATTAAGTTCGTGTTCTGAAGAAATGGTAGTAACAACGTCTGGGATGTCTCCAGACAGGCATCATGAAAAGCTGGTCCAAAAAGGAGATTATAATGCGTATGTGAGTACATGCTTATCAAGTCTCCTTTAGAAGCTATCCACTGAAAGGGCTGTGGTCACCTAGACTGAGAGAGCATTCCAAGTTGCAACAGTTGAATGTTCGGTATTTGATGCACAACCTCGAGGGGCATGGTGGAAATGCTTCGGTACGATGTTCATGTTGAGACGATTAGGCGTGCAGAATATAATGTGCGCTATTATCAGATCACCTCTAATTCTCCTGTAACTCAGGAGAATAATTCCAAAAATTTGAGTCTTTTTTCGTAAGATTTGTTCTTCATCCTGTTATCGATTTAGTCGTTCACCTCTGCACTCGACCCAGGGGATTTGTGTCTCTTTAAAGGAGAGGGTGTGCGACGATTTTGTGAGTTTTAAGGTGTGGGTATTTCAGAATAAGCTGATTAATGTTGAGTCCGTTTCTAACTTTAATGAAACCTGGTCGTTAAGTCTACTCATTATATATCGGTTGCTTCAGTATCCTTTAATACCAGCTGTTTACACGGCGCCAGTACAGTGATTATTCAATATCAGTTCTACTTATATTAGGATTGTTTGAAGTACTTTCGCAGTAATGGGTTGTTCATCGATAATAACCAAGAGTATCCTTTACATGCATACGCCAGTATTATATCTGATTAGTTGTATGCTATCGAGAATATAAAATCCATTTCAGGTGAGCATTGAAGTAATTTTACTACATATTTATGACCATATTTTGTTCAATTTTACTTGTATTCCATAATCTAGGTTATGTAGCACAAACTAATATTTAAGATCTGAAAGTTAAGACTGGTATAATGTCGGTCGGTCGGCAACAACGTAGAATTTGACACGTTCGTACATCAATTCATGTAGCCAGACCACATAAGCACAAAGAGATGGAACTACCGACTCAAATCCCATAATACTAGAGGTTGTAACAGTATTAGCTTTAATCGAAAAGAGTGAGAACCAAAGATATGATTTCAGAGGCATAACTGTGGTGTTTGAATTAACTAGTGACTTCTTGTTGTTGTGGCATGCTTGATTTCGAATTCTAAATGTAGTACATTCGTTCGTGCTTATCCCGTATTTCTTGATTCACATACTTCTAATCATCATATTGGCGTCGCGATGGAATGGAACAGTTAGATATTCATTCTACTTCTGAAGCTTTTGAAGATTATTTGGAAAGGTTTGAAATCTGGAGTATGACCAGGAAAGATGTCAAAGATGATAAAATTGTGGCTCATTTCCTAACATTCATCGGAAAAGAAGCGTACAGCTTATTAAAAACTTTGGCATATCCAGAAAAACCTATCGCACTTCCCTATGCAATGCTTGAGGAGTTATTATTGAATCATGTAAAGTGCCCTGGTTTTGAATGCCGTGAAAGAGCGAAATTTCATAAGATGATTCGTCAAAATGACCAAAATTTTAAGGAATTCATTCTTGAATTGCAGAAACAAGCTGTCAAATGTAATTTCGGTGATCAACTTCATGTGCAGCTGAGAGACAGATTAATTGCAGGAATTAACATACCTAGTTTAGAAAGAGAGCTGTCAAGAATGTCAAACTGTTCCTTTCAAGATGTTAGAACTGCGTGCATTAACTACGAGGCGTTGAATGAACTTGAGATTCAGTCGATGAAGATTTCCAATATTTTGATTAGTTGTCATGATGAAAAACAATCTCAGGGTCAATCAAAATTGTGTTCGTTTAACAGAGGTTCCGATTCTCGTGTAAATATGAACGGTCTCACAAAAGAATTACAAAGGAAATCACAAAGGTGAGACCAAGTTTGGCAAATGTTTATCATGTGGAAAACTTCATTCTCGTCATTCATGTACATTTCGTAATGCTAAATGTCTTAGATGTGGTAAGATAGGACACATTCAACTAGTATGCAAAGCTACTGTTCATTTTGCCTCAAGTAGTACTAAATCTTGTAATTTAGATTCCAATAATTCAGCTAATCCTAATGATCATTTATCTTTGTCTACCATTTCGAAAGGTAATGCTCATATTTAAAAGCGATTATATACATCGCTTGATTCATGTCATGACTTTATTGTGGACACAGGCAGTATAGAGTCCATTATTTCATTCAAGAACTTGAAATCGTTAGATCCTAACGTTGTGGTTCGACCCACTCAAGTATCAATATTGGGGATTACTGGACACAGACTGCCTATACGAGGATGTTGTGAATTGCTAATAAGAGATGATAATTCCTCATACATACCTTGTGAATTTTTAGTTAGTGAAACAGGACTGTCAATACTGGGTTTAAATAATTTGAAAAGATTTAAAGTGACATGTTTGTTATTTGAGAATAAATTATTATTATTATTATTATTGAAGTTGTCTTTCCTAGTTTCTAAAGAAAATTCTGATGCTTTACTTAAAGATTTGATAGCCACGTGTGCTAAGTGCATTTGAAGTATGAAAATCCAGCCTATAAAACTTCAAGTACAGGGTGATCCAGTCTTTCTCAAAAGATGAATGATTCCTTATGGTCTTCGAGATGCTGTGCATAAGACTTTGAATGATTTGTGTGCAAAAGGTATAATTGAGCCTGTTCAGTCTTCTGCATGGGGTACTCCTATTGTTAAGCCTCTGAAATCGTATGGCAAGACTCCTAGAATATGTGGTGACTATAGACTGGCATTGAACTCCCGTTTATTGAAGCAAACATGCACGACGGTAGAGGCTGAAGATATCCTAAATCGACTTCATGGTTCTAAAGTGTTCTCGAAAGTTGACCTAAAAGATGCTTATGTTCAAATCCCTTTAGATCAATCCTCATCTATTTTGACGACAATTAATACTCCTTTTGGACTGTTTAAATACAATTTCCTTCCATTTGGGCTACGTTGTTCTCCAGCCATATTCCAGAAAGTTATGAATAAGGTGGTTAGTGATCTTTAAGGTGTTGAAGTTTATCAAGATGATCTGATTGTTCATGGTGCTGATAAGGGAGTTCATGACCAGAGACATGTTACCTTATTGCGTCGTTTGATTGAGAAGAATATTACAATAAACCCAAATAAGTGTTCATTTTGTGTATCTAGTTTTGAATGTCTTGGATACCTAGTTGGTGGTGATGGTTTTAGACCAGATATGAAACGACTAGCTCCACTGGCGAATGCACCGTCTCCAAAAAATCTTACCGAACTACGTTCACTAGTGGGTGCTCTTCAATACCATTCCCGTTTTATTCCTAATTTTTCTTGTCGTGCAAATTGTTTATTTAATATTTTGACATCTAATTCATTCAAATGGGGTGAGGAACAAGAGTTATGCTTACGTAGTCTACTAAAGTTTCTTTAAAGTGATGCTGTTCTTCGAACTTACTCCCCTAGTGTACAGTCTGTGCTTATCACTGATGCATCACCTCTGGGTATTGGCGCAGTTTTGGAACAGGAAGGTAGACCAGTTATTTGTGTTTCACGCAAACCTACTGTTACTGAACAAGGCTGTTCACAAACTCAGCGAGAGGCATTAGCTGTGTTTTGGGCTGTTAAAAGACTTCATAAATATTTATTCGGAAAGAAATTCACTATTGTTACTGATCATGAGGCTTTGCAGTTTATTTATCATCCTGAAAAATCCTTAGCACGTGCCTCAGCTGCTATGGTTCAACGATGGAGTATTGCTTTGAGTGCCTACGACTATACGGTTCAGCACAGGAGTGCCAAGCAAATTCAACATGTTGACTACATTTCTCGACAGTCATTACAAGATAAACCTGTTAATACTTCAGACTGTTTGTTGGTGCAACCTTTACCATTGAAACGTCCAGATCTCATTAGAGAAACTCGTAGAAACTTTGGATGTATAATTAATGCTATACGGAAAGGTTGGAATGCTAAACTGAAACACAGATTCCCTATCTATTTTTCAAAGCGGGATGAGCTATCCACTACTCCTGACGGTATTTTGTGTTTAAATGATCGGGTTGTTATTCCTCCTTCATTGCGTAAAGCTGTCCTGGAAGATCTTCATAGTGGACATTTAGGTGTTGAGAAAATGAAGTCCTTGGCGAGGCTCACGTGTTGGTGGCCAGAGATAAATGCAGATATTTGTCGTACAGCAGACAATTGTGTAAAGTGTCATAAGCTGAAAAATCAGCATTTCAAGTGGACTTGTCGGAGGCCTGGCAGAGAATTCATGCAGACTAATGTGGCCCGTTTCTTGGCAAATATTATGCACTTGTAGTCATTGATTCTTTTTCAAAGTGGCCTGAAGTTTTTTCCACAACCTCACCAAATTCTGACTTCACAATTCAAGCATTAAGAAAGGTGTTTAGTCGAGAAGGGATTCCAATGGTGTTAGTGACTGATAACGGCACTCATTTTGTTGCAGATGCAGTTACTACCTGGTTAAATGGTATAGGGTGCAAACATCTGTTTACTGCTCCCAGACATCCTTGTTCCAATGGTCAGGCAGAAAATTTTGTCAGGACGTTGAAAACTGCTATTGATTCTATTGCCGCCTCAACATTTAATGAGCTGGAGAGGGGAGTAG